AGGAGGATTAAAGCACACATCAAATCTAAGCAGCAGGGCTTAAACCAAGCCAGACTCATGAACTTACTCCTTCCTTCTGATGTTAGACATCTATCCCCTAAAGCATCACCAATGTTTTCAATTAAGGAAGCCATGTTAAGTGGCATGTGGACCACTTTATTAAGGGAAACCCAGAAGCCAGTGCTAAAGTCTTGGCATATAATAAGACAAAATTAAAATCTAGTCACTTTGGATTTACTGGAAGTCTACTGAAACTTCTGTGAAGCCCTAAGATGTTAACAGTCCTGATAGTAAAGAAAGAAGGGGTGCAACATCTTTTGAAAAAATTTCAATACCCTTACATCCTTTGGAGATGTATCATCCAACTAATGGAATTAGGGAAGTGGGTATTTACTTGTGTTTCATCCCCTTTACTTCTGGCTGAGACTGTAACATCCAGGGCCCCACTGTGGTCATCCTTTTAGTTTTTCATTTATGACCTGTGAAGTGCTTAATTAGCAGATTCTACTTTGGTATATTACATCCTTTCACTTTCAAAATCAGGCTACTGGATCAGCAACAGCATCAGTATCACCCAAAAATTATTACAAATTCAGAAGTTGTGGTCCATTCCAGTAACATTGAAACAAACAGAGTTGGGAATTCCAACTGAGTGAAGCAGACAGCTTGCTTTAACAAATGATGTCATTCTGAGCTTACACCTAGTGGGAGACTCACTGCTGAAAACATTTCCTAGATGTATTCCACCCTTGAAGGTACCATTTTTCCTCTCATTGTACATATAGCCTTCAGTTAGAATCAGATACTAAACAGAAGAAAAGCACATTTTTCATGGAGTTTCAAGAGCACTTGTCAAAACTTTCTTAAGCTCCTTCCAAATCTCATGACTATGTGGAGCACACAAATTCATATACACAAGGATAATTCACACACACACACACACACACACACACACACACACGCTAAGTTGCAAGTTAGAAAACAAAAATTTTTATCATTATTTAAAAATCCCAACATTCCATAAAAGTGAATTGTCTTCTTTCCACTTGGAAAATCTAAGGAAAAAAAGATGAACTCGGCATAAAAATGTTCAGGTTAAGATCTTAGAACATAGAGATTTGATGAAGAAATATAAGACTCTCCTTCACAATAAAAATGAATTATACGCCATGAAAGTTTGTCGTTGGGCATGGATAAATGCAAACACCCTGACTCTCCTGCCCCCACATATCCTAAAAGTTTAGAAATACATGCAGCCCTGGTTTTGATTATAGAATTAGTTAATTTTCTCTGCATGGTATATGTATTCTGTTAGTGAATTGTAAACTTAAACAATTTGTTCCTTACATCTTAATACACAGTTGAGTTACATTTTGGGACAGTCTTCACAAAGTTCTTTCCTGGCAAGTTAGTGATGGCAGCTTAATGCACTGGTTTGGAGTAGTGTAACAGCATTCTGCAGTAAATTTCCCTGTCATGATGGCTTAGAATGTACTAAATGTTTCTGCAGAACTTTCAGATCTGGAAACCTGGGTAGGTTTTTTTTTTAGAAAGGGCAGAAGGTGATAGAAAAAGTTGTAAGGTCTCATGGTAAGATTTACAAAGAGATAATTTGGAGGTGATCTGAAGACTTTTGTTATTTTCTTGTCATATATATTTATCCATTGTTCTAGTCAACTTCGTGAATCCATTTAAGAGTAAATAGGGAAATAAGAGGGAAAGAATTTTGGTCAAACCATGTATTTGACTGAATTCTTGGTTAGCTTACACTGGATGAATATATCCTTCAAGATGCATAGCCTCAAGCTACTGCTGAAGTTTATATATTCCTGGTAAGAAACTGAGGCAATATTACCATCTGTAAGCCACATGAATATATTATATTTAGTTAATGAGCTTCAGATGAAACATATTCATTTTAGTCACCAAAAGCACCAACCCTTATATACTCTAGAATATGTCACCTATATTTCTCCTGACCTTCACCCAAGTTGACGGAATGCAGACTCACTATATTCCGGTTCATAATATTTAAGTGGATATGAAAGTTGATAAAGGTTCTTAAGTTCTCTCTGAGGTTGGCTTTCAGTAATTATAGGAGAATATCATAATGACAATATTTGCATGGAATATATTTGAATTTATATTACTATGCACATGGCTAGCTGTTGAAGAATATTCATGGAATCAAAAGTGAAAATGAGAAGAATATCTCATGCTGTTTGTCAAAGGACTGGAAGTGACTTATAATACTAATATCTTCAGTATCAAGATGAGGGATAAGAAAGCAAAACAGAATAAAGCAAATTATTCCAAGAATCTAACATAGTAATGAGATAGGTAGTAGGATAGATTAGATTAGGCTTTCTCATATTCTCAGTAAATGGGGGAGTAACTACAATCAAGCATCAATTAATAATGATGGTGACACATTCTGAGAGGAAAGTCCTTAGTGAATGTCTTCCATGTAAGAACCCCACAGATTATAATTTTATCGGACCACCTTTATATATGCAGAAGCATCATAATGTAGGAGATTAAAACTCTTTGATGGCATTTATATCAATTTGCAGAGAACCCGTGTTTCTTCAGAGAAAAGTAGCTAATTATTTTGTGTTCGAATCTTAATTAGTTAAGCTCAATAAGAAGGGCTCATAATTGTCTAGGCGTAGGTGTTTTATTACATGAATAACTTACAAAACAAGTAGAACTACAGCAAAATAAGTTTCTGAAACTATTTTCAGGGGGCCTGGAGAAATGGCTCAGAGGTTAAGAACACTGGCTATTCTTCCAGAGGACCTGAGTTCAATTCCCAGCAACCACATGGTGGCTTACAACCATCCATAATGAGATCTGGCACCCTCTTCTGACTTGCAGGCATATTTGCAGACAGACAGAATGCTCTATACATAATAAATAAAGTCTTTAAAAATAAATAAAAAATAAAAAGTTAAAGAAAACTATTTTCAGGTATTTTTTTTGGTTTTACGAGACAGGGTTTCTCTGTTTTGGAGGCTGTCAGTCCAGCCTGGCCTTGAACTCAGAGATCCACCTGCCTCTGCCTCCCGAGTGCTGGGATTAAAGGCGTGCGGCACCAACGCCCGGCTTATTTTCAGGTATTTATGGATAGGTGGCCGGCCACAAATTCAGCTGTACTTCTCATAATCTCTGTCTGAAATCAATAGTGAAGACTGACATTTCAAAATATGTAAACAAGCCACATTCATGGTGTCACCTTATACCCCACTTCTATGGCTCCTATGCCTCTTTTCTGCCCCTCCCTCCGTCTTTTTTGCTTGTCCCTATTTTTCTCTTTATTGGTGAGACTCTTTGACTCCTCTCTCCCCCTCTCCTCCCCTCTCCTTTCCTCACCAGCAAATGAACCCTGACATATCAGAAAACTCTCAACAAATATAGGACAATAAAGTGTTAGAGTTGTCCCCCTTTTAAGCTAAAGATTTGGTAAAATAGAAATTCAAGTTACTAACAAATCTATTATCAGAACTGTAATATAGTAAGACACACAATATATATGTATACAATGTGGCAGTAGTTACATGATTGCACCTATTTCTTTAAACTCATAAAAATGTACACTAAAATTTATGGATGTAAATTATCCTTCAATTAACCCATCTCAATTATTACTCAGTAAACCTATCCAATAGTTGTGCATCATGAAGCAAGAAACTCTACATATACCTTTAATCCCAGTACTTGGGAAGTAAAGGCAGGAAGATCAGGCGTTCAAGGACAGCCTAGTTTACAGAAGATCCTGCACAAGAGTCAAATAACAGGAGATTTGCTGCATGATAGTGTCTTCTATATATGACAAGGAATTTGCATCCATGAAATCTCAATAATATAGTTGCCTAAACTAGACCTGAAATATAATAATATCAGTTGACATATCAATATAGATGGGGTAAACCCTATAGTGCCCCCCACTCCTACATGAAGTGCTACAGGCAACTAATGGCTACTGAGAGAGGGAAAATCAATCTTCTTTAGGGACTAGCCCCCTATGTAGGTTAGCTCTGCACTGGTCAGCCCGAAACACGTGTGCATATGACAGTATTAAAGGGATTCAACAGGCTGTAATTATATATATATGTATATACGTATATATATATACATATACATATATATATAATGTAAGAACAAGAAGCTATAAATTTCAGAGGGATGTGTGAGAACATTACTCAAGGAGTTGGAGGAGAAGAGGAATGGGGGAAATGATTTCAATAAAAATTAAAGAAAAAATGAAGACATGAGACAGAAGTGTAGATGAATTTATTACAGACAACCAGAATGGTAAGAATGTAAAAATTCTAAAGCCAATCATGTTAGTGTGCACCTCTTTTCTCAGGTAACAATTAGGAAGGCTTGGAAGGATTGCCTGTGCCCAGGACTTTGAGGCCAGCTTGTACAAAATAGCAAGACCCTATTCCATAAAAGTAAGAAATAAAATTTGACATATGAAAGAATTGAGGCTGAGATCCCACAGGCATAATGTCATGCTTGGCTGATAACATACTCCCTCCAAGTGGCACCACCAGAATACTTTCGTTTTCTGTAGTTTGTTTATGTGTGTATAAATTTAAAGGGTTTGATTAGAATCTTATTAAGCCAAGACGGTTCTCTGTTGAGGTGACCTAATTTGTAGGCTGATGGAGGAATAGAATTGTTTAAGTATCAGAAAGTAAATCATCTCTCACAAAGACAGGTGGAATGGATAATGTCATGTGAAATTTGAGAAACATCTGTTTGCCTATAACAATGCCTGGGTCAAGATGAAGCCACCTGGTTGAAATAATGTTTTCAGGTTACGAAAATCACTATCTGGTTGACCCAGGACATTCTGTGTAGTGTGCATGGAGGGGGAGAATTACCAGTTTTAAAAATTGTTTGACTTTGGGGCCGGGCATTGGTGGCGCACGCCTTTCATCCCAGCACTTGGGAGGCAGAGGCAGGAGGATCTCTGTGAGTTCGAGGACAGTCTGGTCTACAGAGCAAGTTCCAGGACAGCCTCCAAAACAATACAGAGAAACCCTGTCTTGAAAATCCAAAAAAATTGTTTGACTTTAATTTGGGGGTTTGTTCTCATGCTAGGAGGGGAAGAAGAAACTTGAATTATTGTGAAAAGTCATCATCAGTTTGAGCATTGTGCTCAAAAGAACAGATTGTGGCTAAAATGAGTAAGCACTGTATTCCGAATCTGAATCTTTTACTTTCTTTCTTTCCTACATTGGCTTGTTCAAATGGCTCTTTCCTGTAGGGAAAGGAAAATTACTCGTGTCACTGATTGCATCAATGTAAAATATAAATGATTAATGCATTAATGTAATTTTCTTAATTATGCCTTAAAGAACTGGATTTACCTTCCTAAGCATACACAAAATAGAAACCATGACTTAAAAATGATGATTTTGAAAAGGAAATAAGAATCAATGCCGGGCCCTGATGTGCAGCCTGTGTCCTACAATGTGCGGAGGGTGTCGGGATTGATGACACAGAGACCAGTCGGTGGTGAAAGAAGGCTTCTAGAAAACTTCAAGAAAGCTTTCTGAAGGCTTCAAGAACCCCCCCTGGCTTTATTCTTACCCACTCTGCTTATATGCCCTGACACCAGATGCGGTGGGGGGGTGTCAGGAAGAGGTGGTTAGTCATTAGAAAAGGTCAAGGTCAGGGTGTTCTCCTGGGGGAACCCTTATCAGGAACTTATTGCTCTGGTAAACATTTCTTATGGGCACTGTATTTTTTTAGTAAACATGTTTTTTAGTAAACATGGCTTCTCTGTGCTCTATTACAGCTGCCTGCTCCCAGGCTGATGTCCCCTCTGGCCAAGGTCTCTTGTTCCCACAAATCAAGGCAAAGTGCATCCTCTGGTTGACCTTGGATCCCCCTGAATACACTTATTTCAGTGACTTTACAAATCATTTTTCATAGCTGATCCCATGGATTTTCAAGAGGCTCACATATCCCCTGCTGTATTATGTTCACTTAGGGATATACAAGCAAAATCATTTTGACCACATTCTGTAGCATTTCTGTGTGTATGTAGCACAACATACTTAACTTTTGAGGGGAAAATCAATGGTTGGGGATTCATTTTCATACAGAAAGTTTAGAAAGAATGCATAACTGATTGATGGTAATTTTGAAACACTACTTGATCTTGAATGAAATTCTTGACTCAATTTCTTTTTGAAGTTCAAGCCTAGTAGAACTTTGCCTTGAATGCAGTAGTTCTCTTTGATTTTTCAAGGTTTAGTGATGACTATGGGACAGGCACTATGAAACTTTTTGTGTTTATCTTTTTCTAATTTCTAAAACAACCCTATGTGGAAGAGGCATCCTGTTTCACCGAGGCAGCTAATGATCAGGAGGAAATCAAGAAATTTGCATTTCCTAATAGTCAGTAGTAATTTTGAGTATCTTGTTTTGAGCATATTTACCTCTTATGTATCTTTCTTGATTTAAATATTTTGTCAATGCAAGTCCCTGAGAAGGTACATAATTATCTTCTCCTATTCCAAGAATCGTCTTAATAGCACAATTTTTTGAGACAGGATCTCATGTAGCCCATGTTGGCTTCAGACATACTATGTAACCAGAGATATACTTGAACTTGTGATCCTCTTGTCTCTGACCCTCCCCTCAGCCGTATAGTTTGGTTTTTATAAGTTCAATTTATCTATGTTTACCTTACTTATTTGGGCTTTGGGTCATAGTTAAAAATCAAGTTTTCTTCTACTATTTTTTATCTTTTGTATTTGGTAGTTCAATCATTTTGAGATACTGTCTGTATAGATTAGGAAGAATTAAAACATTTTTAAAACATAGTTTCAATACTATTTGTTAAAATAACTTAACAATTTCCATTGACTTGTGTTGCTGCTCTTGTCAAAAACCCAATACACTATAAATATAAAGATTTCAAACTTATTTTGTGTATTAATTATACTTTCTATGGAGATTGTTTAGACATTTTTCCTTTATAAAAATGAGATAGTAACATACAAAGTGGACTCACTTGCTGTCAAATCCTTACTGAAAGAATTTTATACTCATGAAAGAATAGTAACTTTTAATATTGAATGTAAATATGGCCAGATATGGTGATTCACGCTTGCAAAACTACTACTTTGAAGACCAAGGCAGTATTGCTGTCAGAATGAGGCATATCTGGCTAACAGATTTAGTTTCATACTAGTTTAGACCATACATTGAAACTCTGTCTCAAAATAAACAAACAAAACAAAATAAAAACAAAACCAGGCAGGTAACAACCCAAAAGAAAATGTAATTGAGTCTCTGTTAAAATAAATTAATTTTACCGGGCAGTGGTGGCGCATGCCTTTAATCCCAGCACTCGGGAGGCAGAGGCAGGCAGATCTCTGAGTTCGAGGCCGGGCTGGACTGATAGCCTCCAAAACAATACAGAGAAACCCTGTCTCGTAAAAACCAAAAAAAAAATTAAATCAAATAAATTAATTTTATCTACAGTAGTTTAACCTTGAATGTGTATTTACTTGGGAGCTAGTTTGGAAAAAGTATATAAATGCCATCATTGGTGCCGTTTGTAAAAATCCAACAATTCCTCACTGATTAGCCACTAAAAATTAAAACAGGAAAAGGAAGCCAGATAATTATCCTACACTAATTAAACCTAATTATAAGACATTTCACAAAACAAGAATCACAGGAAAGTCATTGCCCATATCTAAAAGGAATAAAAATGTAGTTTGAAGTCTCAGACTTTCTTCCTCCTGATTTTCCTTTGAGATTTTCCAGAGATATGTTTCAAAGGATAGCAATGGGTGATGGAATATTTTGGTACCAGGATATGGATCATTTGGTGCATAAACAAACTATGTAGAGGATAAAGTTGGCTCCAAAATGGATGTATGTGTGGCTTTAACAAGTCAACATTTATGATGAACACAATTAGTGACAGATGTTAGAACCGGGATAGGGAGGGTTGTATTTACTGCTTCTCAGCAGATTTGCTGAACTTATTCCTAGCAAGCAATATATTTGTGGCAGACTGGCACTATATAGTACATAGCAAGTTCATACTTTGTTTTTAAACTTTCTGTATGATAAATGGTGGTTTTGAAAGTAAAGATGTTAGTCATTAGAAAGATAAAATGTAGCAAGAAATGTTATATTCATTCTTGGGATGGATATATGCACAAAAGTGAAACACACACTCATATATATGTTAATGTTTTTCGATGATTGAAAAATTTCACTGTTTCAATTTCATGGATAAACTTGACAAAATATTAGTAGCTTCTGATTGATTTTTCTGTAAGGGAACACTTGGTCAGGACAGAATTAATTTAGTAGAATAAAACTAAGTCATTTATGGAATCTCGATTTTATTAAAAAATAGTAGATACAGTTCCCAAATTCAAAATAAAAAGTACCAGTTACATGCGTTATTTGGCTCTATGCATTACTTAGTCTCTTGGTATTCATTCATCAATTATCAGTTAACATAAAAACTCCAACTCTGCCCGATTTTGTCCTTTTACAAGAGTAAAGCATTCCATTCTTTCTCCTCTCTTCTTCATTCCTGTTTGCTTCTTTGGATCCTCTTCTCCCAATGCTTGTGTCAGGAAGGCAGCTTATGGATAATCAACACTTTAACAGTCTTAAGTTACCCAGTCAGAGGATAGGGCTATCCCCTTTTCCTGTCCTTTATAACACTGTGTTTCCCTTCATCCTTGTGAGATGTTTACTACTCCCCACCCCCAACATCTTGTTTGGAAATTGCTTATTGTATTCCTTTGCAACTGCATAATGAAACAATTTGCAAAGATTCTACTAAAGAATAGTAACAATAAAACAATGCATCTAAGTCATTACCTGTGATTGTGGGATGAGGATAGTGAATGTGGAATCAGTGGGAGACTGGAGTACATTTTGAGGAGAGAAGATTTATTTTTGCCTGAAAGGATAGTCATTAATGAGGGTTTATGCTCAGTCTTTCAGGTATTTCCCCTGAAGGCTGTAGGTATCATTCGGCTTGTCATAGTTTACAATGAAAAAAAGTATACAATACTGACAGTAAAAAAAAAAAAACAACTCTGAACTATAATGCTGACAGTGACTCATGACTCTTTACAACAACAAATACCCTTGGAGACTAAATACTTCTGTGTTAAATCCCACATGTAGACCTAGTGAGTTGTTTGTTAATTGTCCTGTTGAAGTAGAAATATAGCAGTATGTGCCAGTAGTTCTTAGGGTATGCAACAAATGTTTAGGCCCATACAAGTGGCATAGCCTGTGCATTTGAAGTTCATATAAAAGCTGGAATTTGTCCTGGAATTTAATGGGATTTGTTATACT